CTGACCTGCTGTGCACCAAATTAAAAGCCTTGGCCACCGATAGCAACAAGTATCGAGCCAAAACAGACCGACGCAAGCAACGTTCCATCTTCCGTGATGTCCTGCATTATATTGAGGTGCCTTTTCCGGTCAGAGCTTAATGGACACTACAAAAGCTGTGCTAACTGGAATTGTGGGAGGTCGGATGGGAAACGTAGCTCAGGAGCCCCCCCACATCCCCCACCCCTTTCCGTTAGCAGGGCTTATGGTTATTCGTTTTTCAAAAAGATCCTCAGGCACTTTTATTTCAGATCCTTACACTCTCATAATCCCAAATGTCAGAAGCGGAGGGTAGAGAATCCTCTGTCAAGAATGATGCCTCCATTGGCAGCGAGGAGGAGATCTTGATTGTTTCTTCCAGCTGTAATCCAGATGGTGACTATTCACTTTTGAGGAACAGATACTCTTGTGCACGTTGGGAAAAAATGCCCTCCTTTTTCATGTTACCTAAATGTTCCAAAGCTGAAGTTTCGTATAGAAATAGGTTCCGGTACCTACCTTAAAGTCTTTTTTGTCCTGGAAAGGAGGGACGTCTGTTAGAGATTTCCTCCCTTCCCATCCAGAGCTGAGGAAAGGTGTTGGTGCTTTGCACAGCTCCTTACAATCAAAGAAGCAAAACATAAATCACAAAACAGCTTTATCATAATATCCATCCATAGATGGTGGTACGATACTATCCTGTTTTTAGGGGATTATCATAAAAGCTGTTTTGTGACTGTTCAGAGCCGTCTGTTGGCAGTGCCTTGGTAAGCTCTGGCACAGCTTTAAAAAACAATCCTATGCGTTTGTCCCTACGCTCAGCATCCAGGAAGCCTCGGGGATTCCCAAGCGTTTGAGGAAGTAACAGAGTCCAAGGGTCATCCTTCAGTAGTCAGGGGGGCGGGTTTAACGAAAGCTCTTCTTTTGAAATCCCAAAGAACGTGTTCTCTTTCTCCAGAATGGGGAGTGCCATGAGGAGACCATCAAGTTTGGACTGGAGTGCATGTATGTGGACAGCTGGGCAAGGAGAAGAACATACAATGCTTTCAAAGAGGCTCTTGGTTCCGGTGTCAGGCACCACCTGCAGGTAAGCAGATGTTGAATGTGTATGGTTTTGCTGAGAAGATAGTAGCTTAGGACAGCTTTGGATAATTAATGGAAGCCAATCAAGATGGCAAGCATTGATCCCACACAATCACCAGGAACGAATCTTGACTAAGGGGTGTTTAATTATTGCTGCTCGGTTTAAATGTGGATAGTGAAGCAGACATAAGATTTCAGCAGTGGACCACCAGAATGACACAAAACTGATCTTTAGCGCTAAGGATCTGCTTATGTCAGCAATCTTCCCCAGTTAATGGCCTTGTGCTTTCTCTTTGCACTTCTCACCCCCAGAACAATGAGTTGTTACGGGACACATTTGAATTGGGACCGCCACTAGTCCTGGATGCAGCCACTGTTAAAGCGAGTAAGATCTCACGCTTTGAGAAGGTAGGTCATCAAGGCTGCTGATATTTCTAGAGGTTTCTCCTTTAGTTTGTTCAGGGTCTGTGTGATTTTCTCTCTGCTATCAGGGAACTAAGAAGTCCACCTCAAAGGGAAAGACGCTAGTGTAAAATAGAACACTTCTCATTTCAAGAAACCAGGAATTGGGGGCAAAATGGAGAAGGAACCTTTGTGCCTTGCTTCTGAATGTTCCAGAAGCTTCTGTTCCTCTGGAACTGCTTCACCCTAGGATTTTGATCACTTTGTCCTCTTGCCCTTTTGTTAGATTTGGCAAGTCTGACTGTTCCCTTGGGCTTTAGGGCAGAGTTTGTCTTTAGGTAACATAGTAGTATTTTAATTGGTGTCCTCAGCTGCCAACTAATTTTGAGTGTCTTCATATGCCTTTTTTATGATTGTTTTTAGTTTGTAAGCCCCCACTACCACCCCTAGGCTTCATGGAACCCATATTAGTTGAAAAAATCAAGGAAAATGTTTGATCTAAACATCTTTGTGCTGTTCTAGCGGGGCTACTCTGTCCTTACTTGTTACAGAACCTCTTCATGTTCTTTGTTTGGTTCAGAATTATATTAATTATGGGGAATGTCCTTACAAGATGTAAAGAGGTTCAGTGTCACTACAACAACACAGAAATTACTTTAGGCCTGGTAGACTTAGACCATGATTTGTAACCACTGAATGGTTCTTAATTGTCAGTTTTCTGAGCTAATTGTGACGTATGTCTCTTCTACTTCTGGCTGCCCCAGCACCTGTATAATTCAGCTGCCTTCAAAGCCCGAACGAAAGCAAGGAGCCGTGTTCGAGATAAGCGAGCTGATGTTCTCTGAGGACTTGATTCCTTCTCTTCTTCCTGCCTTCCATAGAAGCCAATGAACTACGACAGACCTGGACCACTGTGAAGCTTGCAAGTGCGGAGAGATCCTGAGGCAGAAGCCCCCACATGGCCTCAACCCATTGAAAAATTGGGCTTGGGCCCTGTCCCCCTCAATACCCCCCCACACCTTTCTTCGGGGGCTTTTATATATGTACAGAATAATATTTAAATGTCTTGGATGTTTGAATTATGGTGGGATGACAATGGGCAGGCGCCATTTTTATTTTTTTAACCAAAAATTTAAGCGAGGTTAGGTGGTGGGGAGATTTTTCTCTCACCCCTGCTGCTTTTTTTAAGCCAGTAATTTTTTAACCCCTTTCCCCCTATCTCCATTGCTGAATGTATTAATCAAAGACTGAAACTTTTCCCTTTGCCTCCTGCAGTTGTGAATTTTCCCAGTGAGGACTTGGGTGCAGAAGGTGGTTTTAGGATAAAGTTATCAACAGCAGCATCCAAAATGGAGGCTGCGAAAGGACTAGATTGAGGTTGGGTGCCTTGGGATTTTCCCCTCTGGTGTTTTTGCTGTGGGAAGGATGAAATGTACTTTAGAGATCAGTGTAGATGATTAAAAGTTAGGCTTGATAGCACATGCAGAAATTATACCTCTTCTCTGTTGACCCAGTTGGTTAACATTGTTGGCCAAATTCTTGTATCCTATTTATCACCATTTGTTGTTTTCTTCCTGCTCTTTGGGAGTCAGCTTTGCTCCTCACTTTCTTATTTATTTTTAATGGGAAACTGCTCTGTTTGGATGACAAAAGGAGAATCCAAACAAAGCTAGGCCTCACGCTGAAAAAAGTCATTTCCTTGTGTTTGGTAGGCCTGAGCATTCCTCCAGATAGGAAGAATCGACTCTGTTGTGAGGAAGCTCTCTGGTTTGTGGTCTGGTTAAAAAAAAAAGCAGCAGGCCTTTGACACCACAATTGATTTAGTTTTGTTTTTATTATTCATTTTGGAGTGGGAGAGAGAAAAAACCCCCATAATGCTGTGGCAGTGGTGTTTCACCTTGTGACTACTTCATTTTTGGCTAACTTGTCACTTTAAATTTTGCCAGCTGGCTTTTGCAGATACAATAACACAATGTTCGGATATTGGGCTAGGCAACCTTTCTGAGTTGGGGGCACAATTGTAATTTTGAGTGTCTGATGTACATACTGAGAAAAATGGTGACCCTGGGACTTTAGTCTGTTTACAAAATGGCTGCATTGGTTAACATGATCAATCACCTAAACCTATATGCCCAAAAGTGAATATTCTGTCATCCCCCAACCTATTCTCTGACACCCCATTGAGTCATTGTGCAGTTCAACAGTTGTCCTATAAATAAATACGGTGCTAGAACTTTGTTCTACGGCATCCCACTTTCTGTTGAATTTTTAAAATATGCTTTTAAATCACATAAAAAGGAACGGGAACTTGTATGATGCTGAGGGAGATGTCTGATGCATACTTATACTCCCTTGTACCCAGTTCTTTATGCCAAATAATTTCCAGTTCGGTATCCTATCCCAGTCAAAATCATTGTGTCTAAGGCAAAGTTGACTTAGTAAAGATGTACTAAGACATATGTTTTTTTAGAAGCACTGAGATTGCGCAGAGCATGCACATATATGCAGTGTGCTAAACCTCCATGCTTCTCAGAAAACTTCATTCAAAGGAACCCAAATGTAGCGCTTATGTAAGTGGTATGCAAAGCAAAGTTAATAAGATTCTTTCTTTCAGAAAATCTATTTGGGTTTTTGTCTAATATGCTGCCTCCCTTGCCTGTTTTTCTCAGAAGATAAATTGTGTTGATCTGCTGGACTTTAGACTATGAGGAGCAATTAGCTATGGGAATAAATTGTTATTTGTTTCAGGAGGATGACTATCAGAAAAATGCCTGCATATTCTCAATGTCTCCTTGATAAATGCCAACTTTTATTTTATTTATTTATTAGAAATGTATCCCTCCCTTATTACTTTATAAATAACTCAAGGCAGCAAACATACCTAATGCTCCTGATTTTCCTCACAATGATCCTTTGAGGTGTGTTGGACTGAGAGAGAGAGAGAGATTGATTTTGAAGCAAAAATAACAATTTAGTCCTGGATAGGCTCAAAAGAAAGAAAAAAAGTCAAAGCAAAGCCTTCCCTGAGTCAGGGCCAGCTCTTGATGATTTCATAGTTACCCGCATGTAATTTTGCCAACAACATGCAAGTCCTTTATGACAGCCTTCCGTGGCTAGCTTTTTCCTTGCCCCATGTACAACCCTGATGGCATCCCTTCCAAATTACCAAGATGTAGCCTTTCAAGTTCTGCCAAGGTCATCCAAGGGTTAGCAAGTGTCCTCCTCAAGTACCTTGACTTCACTCACAATGGCTTTTGCAGCTGGAGATTCATCTTCAGCAAGGGTAGAGAGTATCCTCTTTCAAATGCATATGCAGCTCCTTGCTTCTTATAAGTTGTCTGCATATTCTTACATCACATTTTGAACAGCACAGATCTCCCACACCATCTCCTTACCCTAACTTGAAGACACCTAATTGCCATTTGCTGAAAACATGACTCCACTGTGGAGTCTCCATCTTCTTGCCAGACTACCACTGAACCAGATTGAAGCCAGTCCAAGGTGTTCCCAAAGGAAAGGGATGTTTTCCAATGAGATCTGCCATGGAGCCATTCTAGGTCACATTGGAGAAAAGTCAACAAAAGTTGGAGATCCAATGGTCACTGGTTGGCCCATTGCAACTTTGCTTGTGTAGCTGCTGAGCCTTATGTCTTGGTGACCTTTTCTAATTTGACTCCTGAGAGACTGGACATCTCTTGTATATATATATCTTTTCTGCTTACCAATGGGAACACATACTGGCAAGCAGATAGCAGAGCTATTTCCCCAGTGGAGAAGAAGGCTTCCAAGGCTTCTCTCTCTTTTGGGTCCTGCGGCAGAAGACAAAGATATGCTGTAGGGGAGGGCTGTCAACGTCGCGGCCCTTGGCATCATGCACTGGCCATGCCCACGCCTGGTTTAGCGAAGGGGGGGAGTTGCGATATGTCACATGATGCTGCCGTGACGACACAAGTTTGACACCCCTGCTCTAGGGGCTCTATCTATTACAGTATGGTACTATCTGTGAGAGAGCAAGAAGCAGCATCTCTGATGGGCCCTCTGCCCCTCACCCACAGCACAAGGCTATGAGGCAGGGAGGGTGGGCTTTGCCTCCACTTCCAGTTCTTCCCACCATCAGGAGCCTCGGTGGGGCAGTAGTTAGAGTGCAGTACTGCAAGCTACTCCTACTGCAATTTGGCAGATCGAATCCCACCAGGCTCAAGGTTGACTCAGCCTTCCATCCTTCTGAGGTGGGTAAAATAAGGACCTAGATTGTTGGGGGTAATATGCTGACCCTGTAAACCACTTTGAGAGGGCTGTAAAGCACTATAAAGCAGTATGTAAGTCTTATTGTAAGTTTGCTTATTGCTATTGCTATTATATTCTCTCTAAGAAGTACAGGTTGAAAAAGCACAACTACAATACCATGGTGCTGTAGCCACATAAGAGTTTGGCTGAGAAGCCATCTCCCACTAGCAGCCATCAGGTGGAGAGGCCTGTAGCCTGTAGGATCTTCCCACTAATGCCACCCCTGGCTGCTTGGGGAGGTGTGTGACAGTGTGAAGGAAAGAGATCAGGAAAGGTTCGAACCACAGAGTGATTGCAGTTTTGCTGGTGGAACAACTCCATCCACTTTGTCTCTCTAGCAAGCCTGGTCAATGTTACTGTTCCCTGCATGCTTTCTTCCTTCAGGAGCACAGCAGAATGACTTTGAAGGAATAGTGTTTGCACAAACATTTGGCTCTTCGGATATAATAGTGTTGCTGCGGGTTTTCCCCCATTTGGTGTCCAATTACATTGTCTGCAGGCACGCTCAGCTGAGCAATCAGGAGGGGAGGGGGAAGGAATCCTCCAATCATTGTCCTGTAAGTGTAATCCACATTGCAGCTATTTGTCTAGCCCCATTGCTGAAGGTAGGCAGTGGAGGGGTGTGATTTTTGCATTGCCATCCCTTCTTTCACTTTCAAGGGCAGCAGGAGAGGGAAGATGTTGCTGTGTGGATCAACCTAGCCTAATTTCAGAAAAGGAATAGCTTGTCACCATCCCCTTCTGCTTCCAAAGAAAAATTAGCATTGCTCAACGTTACCACAGGCATTTTTTTAATGGGCATTCTGTAAATTTTTTTTTTAAAAAAAATGGTTTTAAGTTTGGTGGTAGGAAATTTATAATCTGTACATATTCATAATTTTAGTTTGAGCTACAGGATTATCCCTATCCCTATTTTGACTTGTGGAGAGCCAGGCATAACGTAGGAAATAGCTTTGTGTATCTGATTTCTGTTATACTTAACAAAGAACTGAATTATCTGAAGAAAGTTTTCAGGGCTGCTAGCAAATGCTTCGCGCCCCCCCCCCCTTTCATAAACCCAAGATAATAACTGGATTCTGTGCCCAAGACTTGTTCTTTACATTCTAATGGTCTCTTTTCTATAGATGGAACCCCCTTTTCAGCAAAACCTGAAGATCAAAGAAGTCTAGGTTTTTTTATTATAATTCTTCAAACATACCCCCGTGTGCAACATTTTTATTTAAAAAAATACATATCAAATTGAGCAGTGCATTTTGAAAAAAGGTGCTCATAGTAGCTCTTAAAATATTGCAATTGGAAACAAAGCATGTCTTATGCTGCTGGAAGCCTGCCTAATAGGATTCTTGGTCAGGTATGTGCCCCACGGTGTCCTCCCTGGACAATCTCAAGTGGCCCTGTAGTTGTTCTACAGATTGCAGCAGCTAGAAGACCCTTCAGTGCTTCCATATGACTGCTTTTGGCTCTGGAGATCAGATCATCCAAGCCACCATGCTCCATTTTTTTAAAAAACTGGCAAAGCAATGAGTTGGCTTCCACTCTTCTGCTCTGGAACTGAGCCTCCCCAAAAGGAGAGGATGGAATTCTCTGGCTCAGGTCAGGTCTGGACCTCCACCTCACTGGCATTTAGCTGCCTCCATATCTGTAAGCTCACAGCTCTCATTTGCCGGATGGCCTCCTCTTGAGACTCCAGCCACTGGGCAAGATTACGGAGTGACTCACGCTGTAAGACTAAATAGAAGAGAAATCACATGATTAATATAGGATGTTTGTAGGGCTTCTCTTCCTGCACCATTTTCATACGAATGCATGTCACACTGATATATCTAAACCTCCCAATCTTTACATTTAGATCCCTATCCCATTAGCAAATTTTGCATTACAACTCCCTTGTCTCTGCGCTGATAAAGCTGATCAGCAGAGATAAGCTGAAATCCAAACCTACCTTACATCTTGGTGTGGAAGGTAGAATAGACTCAGCTAGGTATATGAAACAAATGCCTTCCCATGCCAACAAGATATACATACTTGGGGGATGGGAGACTGAAGAGGACTTATTGAGAGTGCTGTGGTGACCATAGAGCAGCCAGCCATTTCTTATCTCAAAATGTCACTCTGCTTGGCTAGTGTTGAGAGGGATTGGGTCATCCCAAGCTCAAGGAAGCTGACTAATTCAACATTAAGCTATTTAATATTCTGGGAAGAAATATTCCACTTTCCCTCGTTTTGACTAAGTACAGTGCTCATTTTGCAGATGGGTTTCCTGAATAAACCCCAAGAGGTTGGATTGGCAGAAGAAAGCTTTTGAACTTAAGGTTTGGACACCACAATGGGTATATTAACATGCTAAGTTAAACTTGCAACTGGTTATTAAAACTGATGCAAAAAAATAGTAACCTTCCCCAGTTAAATTCAGAGAGAGCAAAGGAAGATTTGAGAAGTGTAGGTCGGTGAAAGGACAGTTCTGAGGGAGGCTCAGACTAATCACAGGGAAATCCTCTGTCAAAGCAACAGGGTTAGGAATGGATATTTATTATGAAGAAAGGATTAGACGTCTACAAATATTTTGTAATCTTACTGTGAGAGCTAGAATACTCTGAAGAATTAAACCTGAATTGTAATTTTAAGGAACTGTTTACAATTCTTTTAAAATTAAATAATAAAAGTTAATTTGATCATTTGTTCAAATGATTTTTTTTAAAACAATGACTACTGTTCTATACCTTCCCCATATCCCACCAATTGTGTTACCTCATATCTAGAGAAAAAGAGACGAGAAAAATTTCCAAATCAGAAAATGGTTCCTTGGTAGTAGTAAAAATAGTTGGTCTCTGGGATGATACTTTCATTCCAAAATTACAAGAAGGCATCCCATCAGGGAGCACCACAAGATCTGAACAAATCATCTTAGGGTTTATTGTGTCATGTGAACCTGGTTTCGCAGTTTAGACAACAATTGTTTTATTAAAAGCAAGCTGGTAAACTGCTCTAAGTGTTATACAGATATGTACCGGTAAGCTGGCATTCTGAAAGCCTTCCTAAATTGGTGTAATCCAGAGGGCTGACCCAGATAAGAAAACCCAGAACTTCTGATGTTTGTTGTTGTTTTAATTTCTTTCTTGCCTGGTGGTAGAAAGGGGCGTACAAAAGCATGCAACCATAGTATAGTTGCAAAGAAGGCACCTGGCTAAACTTGACCTTCTGTTTTGTGATTTATGTAACAGGCAAGCCAAAGTATAACTGTATATTTCAGATCATTACACGACAATGTAAACTAAAATACAGCTTCACATATTGAATATGAATGAATAAATGTTATAGCAGCAGCTACACTTTGAAAAAAAGAGTTAAAAGAGAAGCAGTGTGATTAAAAGCAGTGGGGTATTCAAAAACTACATTTTTCTCTAACTTATCCAGAAGGACCTTTGTGGCATATAATGAATTCCCATCAAAACTTCTGCTTGGTTAGATTTCAAGAGGAAATACTCAATGAAAATGATTTTGTCCCTATGGTGAATATAAATTAGACACTCTCTTGAGCTCCAGACTTACCGCTCAGGTACACAGCCAGTGTTGCTAAGCCAAGACTGGTCATAACAAGCAATCCAAGGAGAGCAATGAAGGCAGTAGGACAACAAGCAGGTCTGAAGCAAGGGCAGCAGGTGAAAGAGAGAAGGGGGAAATTCTGGGCTGGGGAAAAGGCCGAGTTATCTTCATTTGGGAAAGAGAAATGCTTGAAGGAAGCCTTATGTGGAGGCCCTGGAGTAGTGGCCTGTGACTGGCTGTTTCCTGCAGAAGAAGGAGAAAGAAAAACAGAAATGGAAGAAAACCGTAATAGATTTTTGATCAGGGGACTATCCCAGAGCTCTCTAGCCATCTGCTTCGGTCAATGCAAGCTTACCAGAAACAGTTCAAACAATGAAAGGCAAAGGATAAGCTCCAATCTTGAAAACATTCATTTATTTGATTACCTTCGGAAGCCTTGGGGTCCTCACTTCTGATGGAGGCATAGTGCAGGTCACTAATAGATTCCACTGTGTGCAGGTTGATGTCCTCCATCTCATTGTGTTCAATAAGCTCCCTGTCAGAGGAAGCGGACTCATTCACCTGGGTTTCTGCAAAAGGAAAAAAGGGGGCATTTGGCAGGCGAGTGGCAACCAGTCTTCCAGAACTGGCTGCCAATTCAGTCTCCTTGTGCTCTGAAGTCCGGATGGGTATTTTTCTACCCTGGGGGGGGGGGGGTGTTGTTGCCCTTTTTAAACAGGGACTCGTCCTTTTTTTTCATTTTCCTGCTTGCTTCCTGCAGCTTCTAACCAATTGAGAGGTGGGGAAAAAACCACCAAATTCATCCGTTTATTCAATTATTGCTAATGTTTCTAAAATCTTTTCACCTTTCAATAAAAAGAGATTAACTTTCTTGGA